TAATTGATAGAAATGTCTATTGTTGTTAAAAAGATCGGTATATATGTTAGGAGCACCGTCCTCTTCGAAGTCTCGTGTAAGACTGAGTCATTGTCYTCTAGTAAATTACTTTTATTGAAAGTTGTTTATATGACTTTTCGAACGTTGTGCATGTGTGTAAAAGAAATAATCCACCTAATCAATAAAATTTCAAATTATAACGTTCTAATTTTACCATATTTACATTTTTATGTAATAGTTTAACGAATGTACATTTTTTGTAACGTTCCTGCATAGTGGTGACTTTAGAGGGGAAAATTTTCATCCGAAATAATATTACATCAAAATTATTTCATATGTAATGTATGTTAATAAGTACGTGATGCTTACACTAATACATATATGTTTAAAYAGTCTGAAATATAAAACGAGTGTATTAGATTATTAAAATATTTGTTAAATAATCGATAAAAATGTATATTGTAATGCAAATGCATGGATTTAGCTGTTGATGTTCTTTTCTCTTTGAAATCTTCTATTAGACTGATACGTAGTCCCATAAAAAAGGTTTTTTTATCGAAAGTTGTTTATATGTTTTTACGAACGATGCAAATGTGTAGAAACGAAATAATTCTTTTAATAAATAAAATTCTTGATTAAAACGTTCTCATTTCAGTATTCTTTTAATTTTAACGTAATTTTTCAAACTAATGTACATTTGTCCAAACGTTTCTGTGCAGTGGTTACTATGGAGGAGGAAAATTGCATCGAAATGAATATCAAATCGAAATTATTTATTATTAGAAGTACGTAAAAAAGACTGTAATGTTCAAATCGGTACATGCATGTTAAAAAACACAGAAATATAAAAAGAGTGTATTAGAGAAATAAAATAATAGTTATATAGTCAATAAAAATGCATATTGTTGTTAAAAAGCTGCAAGTATATGTTCTGTGATCTGTCTTCCTCGAAATGCACCTTGAGACTGGCACTTGCTCTTCTATGAAAATACTTTYATTGAAAGTTGTTTATATGACTTTTCSAACGTTGCGCATGTGTATAAAACGAAATAATTTATCAATTTAATAAAATTTAAGATTTCAACGCTCCTATTTTACTATGTTTACATTTTTATGTAATAGTTTAAACTAATGTACATTTTTTGAAACGTTCCTGCATAGTGGTGGCTTTGGAGAGGGAAATTTTCATCCGAAATAATATCACATCGAAATTATTTCATATGTAATGTATGTTAATAAGTACGTGATGCTTACACTAATACATATATGTTTAAACAGTCTGAAATATAATTTATTAATTAGATGAATTATTCCGTTTAATACACATGCGCAACATTCGGAAAGTCATATAAACAACTTTCAATAAAAGTAGTTACATAGAAGACAAAGGCTCATTTCAATGTTAGATTTCGAAGAGGACAGTGCATAGATCATATATTCCGACCTTTTTAACAACAATAGACATTTCTATCGAWTAATTGACATCTATTTTAATATTCTAACACACTCTACATATATTTCAGATTATTTAGACACATATATGTACTAGTATAAGTAYTTCATACTTACTAACATAATTTAAATATTAAAAGATTTCGATGTGATATTCTTTTCGATAAAAATTTCCCCCTCCGAAGACACCACTACACAGGAACGTTGAAACACATGTACATTTGCTTAAACAATTACATAAAAATTGAAATATAGCTAAAATCAGAGCTTTGTAATTTTAAATTCTATTTATTAGAATTAATTTTAACGTTACATA